TTGGCAATGTAATTCATAGTGTCAATCAAGTGACAACAAAGAAAAAACTACGTCCACCTTCATTTATCGTTATCGATTTTTCAGCTGCTCTCATGAATGCCGCTCCTCAATAATTCAATATTGAAACTGTTAACAAACATCTCAAACGATGCTGGAACGTTATACAAGGCAAATATAGTGCTGAAAATATTCGATCATTATCTTTTATTCATTTGTGCTGTTGTCATGTTATGCATGCCGTTGCAAGAAGTCTGAATGCTGAAAAAATTGAAAAGAAAACGCGAGAAGCCGTGTTATATATATTCGCTTATATGTTATGTGGCAATGACATCAATGAATTATATGACACATTGGGATTAGTGATTGATATATTCGGTGATCCAAACGAACAGAACGCAAAAAAGAAACTTGATCGAATATGTTCTCTTAAATTGAACGTTGATGAAGAAAGTGAGTCAGCTTTAAAAGATTTCGATAATATTTTTAAAACAGCTGAAAAGAAGGAAGAAGAATTAAAGCTTGTCGATGAATATTTTGATTCCAATGAACCTATCCTTCATCAGTCACCATTTAATAAAGAGGCTATCAGACGTTATCCACTACTGGATGAGATTGTAATTAAGAAAAAGATAAAGAGCGGCAATAAGAATATGCTGTTTTCTGCATCGATAATTCGTATATTCTATCGATGATGGGCATATTTGCCACTATGGACAGGTTTGTTATTCGATTTTGAAGAACGATATCCTAATGACATGCAACAGAATCCATCGGTAACATACTGTCCTATCCGATACTCCAATGCGGTTATTGAAAGTTATTTCCGAACATTCAAAAAAAGTATCTGTCAAGGAAAGAGAGGTAAACCACCTCAAGAGGTTATCATGGCGTTACATAGAAGCGTAAAAGTGCAATCAAAGGCTGATCAGTTTGGATTAACACAAAGTTCAAAGGGAAGAAAAAGAAAAAAAAATGTAGGCATAGGAGAACAATGGAAGAAGATAATACACGGAAGAATACGTCGGGGTAAATACACACATCTGATTGACAAATTCGCATCAAAACGTGCACGACAAAAAGAGGATCAATCTCAACAAGGTGGCATGACGAAAAAATACAGGCAATTTCTTTTGAACTCTAATCTATTAGATTGTATCTTTATGTTTAGTGAATCGGAAAATACTACAACTGCTTCTTCATCAAGGAAATCGGGATCATCTTCTAAAACTTCAAGCGAGAAAATCTCAATCAAGTAAGAGAAGCATCATTCTGATACCAAACAATTAGTATTTTTTATTTAGTGAATCATCTCGTTCCAGCATAAGAGATTCATTATCATCATCTGAAGCGGCTACCAAGGTAAGTCATGAATATTCTAATGGTGTTTCAATCAATTTAGATGTGTCGGCGAACAATAATCATCAACAAAATGAAATTTCAACTGGAAACAGTTTGAACACAAGTTCATCTTCTATAATAACAAATACTTCGATTGCTATTAATGAAGGTGTGTAATGATATGAGTTAATCTATATATTAGAATATAATCGTCATATTTATAGAACACAAGGTGACAACTAATCAATTATCAAAAGATCTGTCCATCAAAATTCAATCTCATCCAGAAGCAACAATCAACGACTTTACATTGAAATGGCCCAAATTTGAAGTTAAAAATGTTCTATTTAAAGGTAACAAAGAAAAAAAATTAAACGATGAATACATCATTCACAACCAAATCTATGCGTTTTCTTTTTTTTTCAAGATCACACATATTCTTTGAAAAACACATGTGCCATCGATTCGGCTCTGTTTGCTATCTACTTCATATATATGACAGATGTGACTATCTCCTCTGAGTTCAAAGAAGCGTCAGAATCGTCACCTTATGCAACACTAGTAGAAACTTTCGATATCGTGGGAAAAGAAGGATGGGACGCTGCACGTATTTATTGGCTACTTAAATTCGAAATTTTGAAAGCGACTGATCAAAAACCTAAAGATCTATTCGGTTCTGTTGATGAGCTCGTATTTTCCTTTCTTAAAAGTCAACAACGACACTCAAATGAAATCTTATGTTCACGGCCTGATTGTCCCAAAAAGGAACGCAAGTGCACATCAACTGAATTGGATATTTTGTAAGCATAAATTTTTCAATAAAATCTCTTTCATAATCAATATTTTTCTAGTTCGACCGACGAGCACATTGACAAATGTGAGATTGAAAGTGAGGGTGTGTGTCCAGTAATGGTAAAACGTCGAGAAGAAATGTGTGAAGCTAAAGCACTTCAAAAGAAGTATAAAGATGGTCGTGTACCACTTTTCAATTGTGAAACAAACACGAATGAATGCGAGTATGTTGATTCTCTACTCTTGAAAGCGTTGACTGTTTTCTTCTGTCAAGACGTGGCTGGGTATGTAATGCTAGAAATATTCAAACATCAGCTATATTTGATTATGGCTTTCCTCCCATAATCATTGTAAGTATTAAACCATTTTCAAGAAGAGGGTGTGGGTGTGGGTGTGGGTGTGTGGGGTGTGGGGTGTGGGTGTGGGGCGTGGGTGGGTGTGGGTGTGGGTTGGGTGTGGGTGTGTGGGGTGTGGGGCGTGGGTGGGTGTGGGTGGTGGGTGTGGGTGTGGGTGGGTGTGGGTGTGGGTTGGGTGTGGGTATGAGTGGGGTGTGGGTTGGGTGTGGATGTAATTTTAGTATTCTCCCACACCCACACCCACACACGCACACCCACACCCACACCCGCCCACACGCACATCCACACCCACACCCGCCCACACGCACACCGACACCCACACCCGCCCACACGCACACCCACACCCACACCCGCCCACACGCACATCCACACCCACACCCGCCCACACGCACACCCACACCCGCCCACACGCACACCCACACCCAAGTCCCTATAAAACTTCGATTGATCTTATTTTTGCGTTTATTAATATCAATATTAGATATACGACCATGGCCAAAAAAATTGTATTTGATGTTTTTCTTTATAGATTGGATTATAATCTATGAAAGACAAAAATATATTTTACTTTAGCAATGTCAAGATATCGCTCCTTGACAAATACTTCTTCACGTTCTTCATCAGCTTTTGACAAAAGTCGAAAGAAAAAAACTAATGAAAATAAGAGGAATAATACAAATATAAAAGAATTACTTGACGTACTTGGTTGATATGTTTGATTATCTTTTTTCACGTCGATGATGATCGCTTTCTCGTCGTTCATGTTCTTGATCATCTTCTGCGACTGCTTCTTTTTTTCGTCGTAATGCTATAGCTTTACGTTCGCTTTTAATTACAAATTTCGGCTGAAACAAACAAAGTCGATTAATGCATAACAATAATTTCTAGATATATATACATAATATCTAATAATTATCGACATAGATATTATTAAATACTGAACTAGAGAGATGTGTCACTTAGTGGTGTCACTGATGAAAAAGAACAACAAATAATGACGGAATTACTCTCGAGCTGTAACTCGTCGTTTGAGCTTAAATTGAGTTCACCAGGAAGTTTCGATAAAACCAGAAAAACTGTTGTGACATGTCTGTAACGGTAGATCCTATTTTGATCGAAAAGAAATATGTCGAGCAATAAAAATACTGACTTATTCAAACATTAAGGGTGTGAGTATGGGTATAGAAAAGACTCCAATATCCATATCCACACCGGCACGCACATCCTATATTTTGACAATTTTACTTTCGATATTTCTATTGAAAACTCAATATCTCTGTCGACAAATGAACATTCTCTACTACTAAAACTTTCAGAATATTTTCAAAGTCATTATATCTATCTATGGGCTGAATTTCAGCTCCTGAAACTCATGAGCACGAATCTTTGTAGAATTTTTCTCGTGTTACCGAGACTTCTTGATGGATTCAATATGAATTTAAATGACGAATTGTAGTTGGAGTAATGACCTCATAAGATTAAAAAATGCTTCGATTACTTCATTAAATTATCTATACGCGAACAACAACACGAGCAAAATATAATCAAATGAATTTGGTAATTATTACTTATTTTATTTCGTCACTGATTTCTTGAGTCTTATTTTCTTTCTAATATATGTTTTACGACTTATCATTATAGTAATTTCTTTTTTATTTTTCTCAAACATTTCTTCTAATGAAAGTGGTACATTCTTTGTTACTTATTTTGTTAACAAATTGAACAATTGAAAATTTTTTTAATTCTCTAAAATATATAATTAGCTTCATCATCATCATTTAACCCTTTAAAAGGACGAGGGAGAGTTGATAGGCAAATCAACCCCATACAATTTTTTTCTATTCGAAACTCCAGCTATATTATACCAAACAAAAGAGCTCGATGAGTTGAATATTTTTTTGTGACGAAACTTGACCTTTTAAATGGAACTATGGAGAGTTCTGAGCGATAACAATGGCGACTAAAATGACTGAAATTTTACACATTAGGTGACTGAGAACCCTTCATGGCTTCATTTAAAAGATCAAGTTC